CTTCCTCTCCTTTGCTCTCATGCTCTTGCCTCCTCTCCCATCCTGTCCCTCCACTCTCCTCCCTCTTTCCTTTTCTGCCATGCCCTTCCCTCCCATCTTTTCTCACCCCTTTCTTTCCTTCCCTCCTTTCCCCTTCTCTGCCCTCCTCTCCCATGCCCTCCTCTGCCCTCTCCTCTACTCCTACTCCTTCTCCTCCCATCCTGTCCCTCCCTCTCCTCCCTCCCCTGTACTCCACTTCCCTTCTCTTCTCTGCCCTGTTCTACCCCCATCCTGTGACCCCTTTACCAGTGGGGCCTGAGGTCCATGATGGAGCTTTGTTGAAGGAAGAGCAGTGCAGTCTCTTGGGATGACACCCCTGCCTGGGCCCAGCCTGCCCAACCTGTATCCATTACCCTGTTTTTTGCAGCCCACATGTGAGCATGTGCACCCCCTGGATGTGCTGTTCCCCTTGGGCCCTTGGGCTGACTCAGTCCTTTGTCTCCCACCTTCCTGACTCATGAGGTCCTCTAGATCTGCAGAGGCCATAGATCAGCTCTGCCCCAGGAAGATGGCCATTGTTGACAGTGTGAGGCTGTGGCATGGGATGTCCTGATCTTTTGGAACGTAGTGACCCGAGGCTCATTACCATTCAGGTACACGGCCCTCTAGGAGCCTCCTGAGCACAGAGGCCCTGCCCAGTTGCAACCTGACCCATTTGCAAGGTCGCTTTGCCATGGAAATCAGTGTGGTCCCAGGTCTGGGGATTGGGATGAGGTCCTCAAGGGACAGGGGAGGTGGAACAGGTGATAGGTCCTAGCAGCTGCCTCAGTTCAGGATCTGTGGCTGGCCTCTCTCCCCTCCCATGACACTCAGGAGTGGGGAGGGTCTTGCTTCTAGGAAGACCTGGGGCAATCTCAAGGCCTGAGGGGAGGGAAGGGGTGGGAAGAGGCTCCTAGTGCCACGTGGGACCCTCAGAAGGTTGGGATTGCCCACTCTGGCTCAGCTAGGACTCAGAGTCCCACTGCCCAAAGTTCACCCCCTCAAGCTTGGATGCTTGGTTGGCATCATGGGATCTGGTTCAATTGTCCTTTCAGCCCCCTGTGAGCCCTCAGTAAATCTCTTTGTGCTTCCATCAACAGGTGTGGCTTCTGCTGTCTGCAACTCTGCAGCCTGGCTGATCCCCCACCTCCCCCTTCCCAGACCTTGCAGTGCCGTGGAGGGGCCCATGGATGGTTGCAGAAACCTAGCCGGGGGAGCCCAGCAAGGTGCAGAGCCAGCATGCACTGGCTTGCGCAGGCTCAGGGCAACTGATAGTTGAATGTGGCTCATGGCAGCCAATTGCTAAAGTTTTAGGAATTCTGTAGCCAGTTGATATCATGGTGGTGCCTGAAGTGACTGTGACAGCAGCCTCTACGCCAAGGAAGCTGGCAAATGCTGCACACTGGAACTCCAAGCCTCCTGCCCGGGAGGTTGTCACCATCTACCAGCACACTGGAGACCTTACCATGTGGTTACCTCCTCAGCTGGGGTGAGGGTCTTCTGAGATCACCATGATGTAGGCTCCTAGTCATAGCCAAGTGCTGTGCCCACATCTGGCTGGGGGTGGGGGACAAGTGCTCCATGTGATCCAGACGCCCCAAGACATGGCTTGCTTCTGCAATGCCATAACTCACTAG